TCGATCTGTATATCCTACCTATTCTTGGGGTATTTCGGTCACGTGATCACCTTTCCACTATCAGCAGCTTCAGAGGAGAGGGGGGGAGCACCGACAACAAATGGCCTATAGTAAGTATGGGTCACATCAACACTCAGGCTTTCCAGCTGTTGAGCACTCTCACTTCTCCCCTGTAGTCAGCACTAGTTAACACAGGAGAGATCATGTGACCGAACTGAGAATAGGTAAGCATATGAATCTCTCTTCTACAGGGTAGTTAGTCTGTTTTAGAAAGGGAGTGGGAACAGTTGTAGTAAGATTAGTTAGTACAAGCCTAGAATTCCACTTTAACCTGTTGAATCCGGTTGTATGCATATATGCAGCCCTGTTAAAACTACTTCCTGTGCTGAGAGCGAGCTCCCAGCATGGTAGCCGGCAATGATCGGTAAGCTCCTGATGCATACTTGCGACTGGGAGCTTTTCAATCATGCGACTGTTGTGACAGCCAATCAGAGCAGTCACATGACCCGAAGGCCTGCCTCCCGGCTTTTAGAACCCATAAAGGGATGGAAGGTGGTCGGCGCCAAGGGGTTAAAGGGCAAGTTCACCTTTTTCGCAAAAAGTGAACTCCAAATATCCTGATCACCCCTTTGGAACCCACTGCACATAGCAGCAGTGATGCCCCATGTTGCCAGTGCAGTGGGCCTTAGACTGCAATTCACAACCTCAGAGTGAATATCCACCATAATGCTCACAATGGCAAGTGCTCATTGGTCAGCGTGACTAGCTGACCACAATGACTGATGAAAAGGGATTTTTATTACTTCTGGGAGACCTTACCGAAATATGCACCCTCAGATGCTCTTCTCATTCGTCAGCACAGGCACATGGCTGAACTAAGCAAAGAACAATAGGATGGGTACTCAATCTGTGGATGCGTATTGTGATGTACAGACCAGCATGGGGGCATCACAGCTGCTATGAGCGGCGGGTCACCAAGATATCTGAAGCCACTTCACTTTTTTGTTTTTTTGTGAAAAGATCAATGTACCCTTTTAAATTTTAATGAACACATTTCAAGTTGCTCTGAACACCCAAAGATGCTGGCCTCATGCACAACGGTAATGCTCCAAATATGCTGCCAGAAAATTGCTCTAATCTCACATATTTATAGGTGCTCTTGAGTTTATAAGCGCATGAGCATAAATGCATTCTTTTGGCTAGAATATTCATTTATTCTAGCCACAAGAATAAATGTATACACATATTCATGTAAACTAAGCTCATAATCCCCTCTCCAAATGCAGCTTTGGGACATTCTATGTCTCAGAACATTGAGCACAAATATTCATATAAAATGCATACATGTGCATGGCCACATAAAATAACATGCAGCTGCGCTCATGGGCAAAAAGAAAAAAATATATATATCAGCTTGTGTACATGAGCAATTCTCCACATCTAATAATGACACAGAGCAAACAGCAATGCCCTGATCTAAACACACCACTCCAGAATTAGCCAATGGCGTTTTTAGAAAATGAGGATCATGCACATGTGCGGCTTTTTGGAATGCCCGACAGAACCACTATAGAACACGGATATCACTTGTGTGTAGAAACGTTCACCAGCGATTGTGGACCATGTTGCATATCATAGGCTCCATTCACAAAGTTACATTATACCAACTTTTAGAACACCTAAAGTGGGTAAAGATAAACAGCTAACGTTTAAGTCACAAATCTAAGGGCACTAAGTTGGTTTTGTTTTTGGCCCGTCTATGCAAGTCTATGTGTCCAAGCCCACACAGGCATTTACAGGTGTATTAGAAGAGGAGCATTTACAGGCAAAAAAAAAAAAAAAAAAAAAACACCAAAGGTGCGTTGAGGAGAGGAGATGAAGAGCAGAACCCCCCTTCCCCTAAAAAACCCACAAAAAACAAGCAAGCATGCCTAAATGCTAGAAGCATCTACCGTTTATTAATTTCCAATGACTAGAATAAATGAATATTCTGGCAACAAAATGCATTAACACTTAAATGCTAAATGATTGTGCAATACGCAGCTTTTAGCACTTTTTCAGGGCTGATTCACACCAGATGCAGTCCAGTGTAAAAAATGCATGCAGTGTTTTGCATGTACTTCAATGGCCCTAGTTCACACCAGCATATTCAACAAAAGTAGAATGTGCTGCATTTTGTCTGTATGGAATGCAGCAAAATGCTTGTAAACACACCAGAAATACATTGTCCTGAGATTTTTCAAGTGTAAAGAAGGAAAAAAGTGCTCTGGAACACATTGAAAACACATAAAAACGCGTGTAAACACATAAAACACATCCAGACTGCAGAAATTGTGGTGTAAACCAGCCCTTAAAGCTGAACTAAACCCACTGATTTAATGGTTAAAAAAAAAAAAAAAAGTTACTTTCCCGGCATGCTGGGAACGCATCACATTTGCTTGTGTTCTCAACCAAACTGTCAAATGACTGCTATCATAACTGGTCACATGTGCAGTACCATGGCAGTTGCAGATCAAACAGAAGTTAAGATGGCAGCTTCATTGGTTGAAATGAATAGGAGGGTTAAGTTCCACTTTAAAGTGGAACTATACTTACTTATCTCCAGCGATGCATGGTCCTGACATATGCAAGTGGCCGGATTTCGGGTTTTGAGCGCCCGTCACTGTCATTGGATGAGTAGGGATGACACCACGCATGCATGGGAGTTCAAGCTGATTCAGAATGTCAAATTTGTACAGTTAGCTGTGTGTGCACAGCAAAAAAGCAGACAAGTAGGTAAGCAACTTTAATGCAGAAGAGACAAAGCATGTCTCCTCTGCATTAAAAATCCTGCCTGTTCGCCCTTTTTTTAATTTTAAGCATAAAGTTCCACTTTAAGAAGTTTTTGGCTGCCTGAAGCTCTGGTGTTCAGAGGTGCTTAAACCAATGCCCTGTTTGCATGAGGCCTTATCAAGTTACATTGTACTCCAGCTAAAAAGAACTGTCACACATTTGAAAATAAGTATCTTTATCCCAGAATACTAGGTCAGGGATACTTACTTTCAAAACTGTGACAGTTAGGATAGACTAAGGGCTTGTTCACGCCATGGTGCAGAGACATCAGTTTTTCTGCATGTGTTCTGTAAAGCCACACCAAATCAGTTGTTCTCTATGTGCCCTGTTCACACGACAACAGTTGGATCACATGCAAATTTTTCTTCTGTGCAGGAATCTGTAACATACATAAAACTCACTGAAGCTCGCATGAAAAATGATGTCACTGCAAGTGAAATCTGCAGATCAGTTTTTCTGCACAAGCCTTAAGCTTTATTCGCACGGATTTTATGGATTTTTACGTGCTTTTTGATTACAGATCTGAATGCAGCCGCATTGTTTTCAATGGAGCCAGTCACACAGATGTGCAAACAATCTGCTTTCATTTCCGTAACACAGAATCCAAAAACCTGCATCCAAGAGCATGCGCTTTGTGCTTATATTTATAAACGCATGTGTCCGAGTTTCTAAGTGCATGAATTAAAGTGGTTGTAAAGGCTCGAGGTTCTTTTTTACCTTCGGGCATACTATGCATGAAGGTAAAAAGCCTTGTGTGTGCATAGCCCCCATTGCTATCCAGCGATGTGCACAAGAGCCTCAGCTCCCTTCTCATTGGCTGAGACAGCATCGGGAGCCACTGGCTCCCACTGCTGTCAATCACAGCTAGTGAGTCAATGAGGAAGAGTGGCTGGGCTGAGCCACAACTCTGTGTGTGAATGGACACAAATAGCAGCTTGGGAGTGAGCCTGCTTGGGTGCCCCTACAGCAAGCTGCTTACTCTGGGGACACATGGCAGGGGCCAGGAGCACCAGTGGGGGACCTGAGAAGAGGAAGATCAGGGCTGCTCTGTGCAAAACCACTGCACAGAGCAGGTATGATATGAGATATATATAGTGCCTTTGCACAGAGAGAAATATATATGAGCACCTTTGCACAGGAATCGCACCTCATTCCTGTGCACATCACATGCGATGACTGTGTGATGTGATTTGAGCTGTACCTTTTGTATGACTCAAATCACATCTGCACCAACATGGTTCCAGATCCTTTTTTTTTTTTTGCACCTGAATCACATTGCATGTGTCTTGCGATCCAATTTCTGGCAATCGAACTGCTTTTTGGGATCTGTTTCAGGGTGTAGTTAATTTAACGACACCTGCAGCAGATCGCACGGACCCCGTGTGACTGCACTGTGGGAAACGCACAGGATTTGCTGCATTTTCCATATCGCATCAGTGTGAACCAGGACTCTAAACAGAGGGGAAAAAAATATATTCTCATAGCAACAAATGTACACATACGTGTCCTTATGCATTTCAACGCATTTTGCTGATTACGCAGGAACTTTTCTCCTAGAAAACATGCATAACAACATCAGTAGAAAGTTTTCAGCCATGTGGAGGAGTTCTTCAATGTGCATCTAAATCTCCCTTTCCTCTCAAGCCTGATCCGTGTTCAGATCGCGCTTCAGAGGAAGCATTACAAAGCCTGTTTTAACCCCACTTTTGCCAAAAGCGCTGATCGCTTCATGTTGGGTTAACTTTGCCACAGGCGCAAAGCATCTCAACACACATGCCTATTGTAACCTAAGAGGGGATGGTTGGCAGGTGACAAAAACAAGTCTAAATAAAACCTTAATTTCAGCTGGAGTCCAGTGTGACTTGATAAGAGTGTAAAATAAAGAGCCGTAGCTTCGTGCCTCCTGTAGAAGTTGGGGCCATGTTTCCGTAGACTGCCTATACACCTACCCGCGTGCAGCTCTTGTAGTAATGAGTTGTGTTCAGCCCCCTCTATATGAAGACCGTCCTCACTCAGCCCCCCTCCCCCTCTGGTCTGCTGCCGCCACCTTGTCTGCCCATTCACACACACCATCCTCAGCCGCTCTCCTCCATCCCCCTGGGATTCGTCAATCCCTCCTAACCTGCTTTCTGGAGCCCACACTAGTTAGGAAGTAAAAGAATAAACACCTATAGTAATAGACATCGCTCTTCCCCGCGGACAGCCCTGATCTACGGGTCACCTCTTCCTTCTTCCAACCCTGCGGCAGAGCCGAACATTCCCAGCGTTTCCTCTCCATTCCGCTCCCGCCGGTCACTTTCTGGACCTCCGGCGGCCGTATCCCTCCGCCGACATTGAGCGGCGCTGATTGGCTCCCGGCTCCACGTGCTAAGACGCACTCATTGGAAAACATGGCGGAAGGAGAAAGCCGTGAGGTGTACTATTGTTGTCAGCGCCGACATTGTACCCGTAGGGGCCGAAACGCAAATATCGCGATAATCGCGGCCATATTGACCTTTCGGGAGCTCTTTTGTTCTGAACTGTAGCTGTACCTAGATGCTGGAGGGACGAGCGCCGTACAGTATATTAGTATGTGAGTTTAGAACTAGCGATTCTGGCTGAGTCCTTTCTAGTCACAGATGAAGTGTAGCTGTATCCAGGCTGTGCTAGGCCGCTTTGCCCCTTTAAATATATTAACCCCTTGCCTTCCAGAAAATTGAGCGCCTGCCCTGACCAGGCCATTTTTTTGCGATATGGCACTGCGTTACTTTATCCACTTGCCCTCCATAGGATTTACCCCCCCCCCTTCCTGACCAGGCCATATTTTGCGATATGGTACTGCATTACTTTAACCACTTGCCCTCCATAGGATTTACTCCCCCTTCCTGACCAGGCCATATTTTTGCGATATGGTACTGCATTACTTTAACCACTTGCCCTCCATAGGATTTACTCCCCCTTCCTGACCAGGCCATATTTTGCGATATAGCACTGCGTTACTTTAACCACTTGCCCTCCATAGTATTTACCCCCCCCCCCCCTTCCTGACCAGGCCATTTTTTGCATTACAGCGCTGTTACTTTAACTGAAAATGGCACGGTCATGCAACGCTGCACCCAAATTAAAGTTACGTCCTTATTTCCCCACAAATTGAGCTTTCTTTCAGTGCTATTAGAGCGCCTCTGCGCTTTTGTTGCGCTATTAAAAAAAAAAAAATTTTTTGAGAAAAAACATATTTTTGACTTTTTGCTATTAAACATGTCCAGTAAAAAATTTAAAAAAAATTATATTTTCATAATAAATTTAGTACTGTGACACAGAACCCCAGCGCACAAAGATACTCTTTCAGTATAAAAAATTGGCTGCTGTGCACCAGTGTAATACACCAACATCCAAAAAATATAAATAAATAAACAGCGCAAATCAAACAACTCATTCAGTACGTTACAAATAAAATTGTAGTGAAAATAACCAATTTAAATAAAGTGCCAAAAAATATATTCATAAAATAAAGTCCTTTTATCCCAGAAAAAACGTAGGCATAATGATTTCTCCCAAAAAACAGTGCTTCCACCATCCACCAGTGTGAAATCAAAATCAACCGCACTCACCAGATGTTGGTGAGTTATGTGCCTTTTAGAATTTAAGGGATCCTAAACCCCCTCTATATCCTCCAGAACTCCTAAATCGCTTTGCAGGGCTAGATGATTCCACTCACTCCTCATATGAACTCCACCGCGGTCCAAAAAAAGAAAAAACATATACCATAGCGTGATACTGCTATACCTAATGTAGTATTATAAATAATACCAGACCACTCACATGTTAAAGATAAATAGAAAGCATTGATTTATTGCCTCCATAGGCTACCAACATATTCAAGGGATCACACTCCAATCCAGAGACCTCACAGCCTGTTGGTTTGCAGAGGATAGAAACCCAGATCCAACAATCAAGATGGCTGCTTGGAACGCACCCCTCTGGCGTGCGTTCCACTCACCGGAAGTGACGTAAGGACGGCACACCGGAAATACGTCAACGTGTTTCGCCCCTCCCACAGGGTGTTCTTAACCACTTGCCCTCCATAGGATTTACCCCCCTTCCTGACCAGGCCATTTTTTGCATTATAGCGCTCTGTTACTTTAACTGAAAATTGCGCGGTCATGCAACACTGCACCCAAATTAAAGTTACGTCCTTTTTTCCCACAAATTGAGCTTTCTTTCAGTGCTATTAGAGCGCCTCTGTGTTTTTATTTGTTGCGCTATAAAAAAAAAAAATGTTGAGTAAAAAAATATTTTTGACTTTTTGCTATTAAACATGTCCAGTAAAAAAAAATTAAATCAAATTTCATAATAAATTTAGGCCAAAATGTATTCTGCTACGTCTTTGCTAAAAAAAAATACGGGACCCGATGATGATTGGCGTGCCACGAATGGTAGCGCAGGTAGGGCACGTGCGCCCTCTACCCAGAGATGCGAAATCACGTATATATAGACATGATTTTGCGCACCACCCGTGCCGCCCTGTAGTGGTATTCTGCTACAGGGCGGACGGGAAGCGTTTAATTGACTGGAGTTGAAAACAGGAGATTATAACAGGAGTCTACTAACCTGTAAGTGACAACTGATATTTCCTGTTAATATTGTAACTGGGATATGAGTGCTAGCAGTGTGGAAGGTTTTGTGCAGTGCACAGTGTGCAGCATGTATGCAGCAATGGAGCAACTGCTCCAGGATGGATATCGCTGCGACAGATGTGAGTGGGTTGCCCTTCTGGAAGAGGTCTGGAGGAGCAAGCTGCAACACTGGGCAGCCGACAACCTTGAAAGGGGTCTTCTGCTCTCTAAGCAGGTAGCTAATGGGATTGATGCGGAGGAGCTAGTAAGGATTATCAGGTAGGAAGATGGGTTACTGAGAGAGGGAGTGGTAGGGGCTCACAGAAAAAGGAAGGCTGGCCCTGGGTTTGTGCACCCAGATTTGCCAAGTTGGGTGATGATGTGGGGGTGGCAGCCCTGGATATCACTGCTATCCATAACAGTCGGGAGGGCAGACCATCTGGGAGGGGTGTGAGGGTAGTGCAGGAATGCCTAGACAGCTGGTGGTAGTAGGGGATTCTATAATCAAAAGGCCTGATCGAATAATTTTTCGCCAGGATCGCCTCAACTGAATGATTTGCTGTCTCCCTGGTGCCAGGGTTCGGCATGTGATGGACCGGGTTGATAAATTACTGGGAGCGGCTGGGCATGACCCAGCTGTCTTGATTCATGTTGGAACCAATGACAGAATACATGGAAGGTGGAGGCTCCTTAAGAATCAATTTAAAGAACTACTCTGCAAGTTGAAGGGAAGGACCTCCAAGGTGATATTCTCTGAAATATTACCTGTGTCATGCGCACCTCAGAAAAGACAGGGAGAGATTAGAGAACTCAATGCATGACCTGGTGTAATTGGGAAGGATTTGGGTTTCTAGAGCACTGGGCTGACTTTTCATTGGGGTACAACCTATATGCTAGAGATGGTCTGCACCTAAATAGAAGGGGGTCTGCTGTGCTAGGGGAGAGGTTTATGGGAAGGCTGGAGGAGTATTTAACCCCTTGGCACCAGCGCCTCCCGGCCCTTTAAGGATTCCAGAAGGCGGCAGGTGGGGAGGGGTTTTAGGGTCATGTGACCGCCGTGATTCACTATCATGGCGGTCACATGATCAGGAAAGGTCCCGATCGAAAGAGGAGATCGGGACCTTTCCGTGAATATCAAACGGGTGTGGTGGGAGTGCGCAGGGCGCGCAGTCTCAGCTCATATGTTTTTTTTTTACTACAGGGTGCGACAACATAACTTCCTTTTTTCAAAACGCAATAAAACCCATTTTATGAATCAGAATTGTTTTTATTGTCTTTAATAATGTAGGTACATATCTAAAGTTCTGTTTTACACAGTTTTGAAAATCATATCAGGTAGGTGATGCCCTCCATTGTCCATACACTGAATAAGCCGATTTCTGGCGTTTTTCATGACCCTTACCATCATAGCAGCGGGTACGTTGGCAATTTCTGCGCGGATGTTGGCATTCAGTTCTTGTAGGGTCCTTGGACGGTTTACATAAACGCGGGATTTCAAAAAACGCCACAAAAAAAAGTCGCAAGGGGCCAAATCGGGGGAGCGGGCTGGCCACTCCAAATCGCTCTGGGAAGTGTTCCCTTAAAACAGCCATTGATGCTCTTGAAGTGTGAGCCGTTGCTCTGTCCTGTTGGACCCAAATGTCCCCAAAGTCCAATTCATCAAGTGGTGGAAAAACAAATTCCTCCAACATGTTCACATACCGGTCTGAATTCACTGTCACTGTGACCTCATTTTCTTCAAAGAACCAGGGACCAATAATCCCAGCTGAGGCAATTGCACACCACACTGTGACTTTAGATGAATGCAAAGGCCTTTGATGCAATTCTCGAGGATTGGTGACGGTTCAGTAGAGCATGTTCTGTTTCTTGACGCATCCAGTCAAGTGAAAATGGGCTTCATCACTGTAAAAAACAATTGCGTCCTCAGGGACGTTTTTGAGTACTGCCTCACATGCGTTCCTCCGAGAAGTGAAGTCGCGTTCGAAGAGTTCCTGCACAATCGCCAACTTGTAGGGATGGTAATGAAGGTCATCGTGAAGAATTCGCCTCACTGAACGATCCGAAAGTCCAAGGGCAGACGCATGTTTGCGCGCAGAACGCTGTGGGGATCGCAAGATTGAAGCTCTCACTGCTTCGATGTTCTCAGGTGATCTGATGGGTCGAGGGACTCCAGCTCTTCGTTTTGGCGTACTCGCGGTTTGTCTGTCTGAACGTAGTGACCCACATAACAATTGATTTCCGGTCTGGGACACGGCCCAACGGGGCTACATTGAAGCGATGTCGGAAGGCGCGTTGGGTTGCGATCACAGAAAATCCGTTTGAAAAGTAGGCCTCTACGGCAAACGCAGGCTGCTCACTGTTCCAACGCATGATGATGACTGACCTGGAAGAGAACAAAAACTTTAGAACTACGCCTGTCGCCTGAGACCACTCCCGCCGCGCTATGGCCGCTACAGCCTGAATGGCACGCATTTCAAAAAAGGAAGTTATGTTGCTGCACCCTGTAGAACCCAGACGCCGGGAGGCTGCACATTTGCGATCGGCCGGCGCCAAAAGGTTAAACTAGGATCGAGGGGGGTGGGAGAATTAGATTATAACGGGGTAGATAGATCAGACAGGGGTCAGTAATTGTTGGTGGGTGGAACGGGGAAAGATGGTGGGAAGGCTATGGCAGATAAGGTTCCCATGT